TTCTATCATTCAGCATGATGCCATATGGTGTGTAATGTCCCTTTGGCCAGTCTGGGTCAGCTGTCCCAGCTGTGTCCCCTCATGGCTTCTTGTGCCCCAAAGCCTCCTCACTGGCAGAGCATGAGAAGCTGCAAAGTCCTTGAATTAGTGTAAGCAGTGCTCAGCAACAACTAAAACATCAGTGTGTTATCAACAGTATTCTCATTCTAATCCAACACATGACACTGTACCTGTTACGAGGAAGAAAATTAACTCTATCCCAGTCTAAACCAGGACACTGGGAAGCTGGTCACCTTTCTCACAGTGGAAGCACAGGAAGAAGGCAATGAAAGTACACAAATTCTTGTCGTTCAAACATTCAAACTTGTTCCTTCAGAAAACCCCACCTCTCCTGAATTCTGCAAGCTGTTTCACCCTGCCATACTGCCACCTTCCCCAAAACGCCTTCTCCCTTTTACTGACTTTCTGCTCACTGAAGTTCTGGCTGTGCTGCATTGCAAGATAGCAATGGTGTACGAACCAAAAGTTTGTTTCTGTCTTCTTTCTTGATACATTCTTTTTTCTGTGAAAGGCACAAACTGAACCAGTTTTACATCTGCATCTATGGCTGTGCTGTAGAAGCCTAAAACCTGCCTGTGGACTGAGCTGGAGCAACATGCAGCAGCACAGTCTGAGGTTTTTTTGGAGGCTGTGAGCTGATAGAAGATAATGGAAGGTTTACAAGAAAGGTCCTTCTTGAATGATAAATGATTCCTGGTCCTTCCAAAGGATCTGACAGACCTACCTATTTGTTCTGCCCTGCAGAGAAGGGATGAAATGACCTAGATCAACACAAAAGGAGCTACAAAAATCAGATTCTCAATGCATATTCAGCAACTCTACACAGCAAATGCACAATACGTATTTAAACAATAACCCTTGTAAAAAACTTGTTCAGTTGTCATAGGATGTCTTATGTTGGCTATTTTTAGCTTTCCAAGTGTCAAGAAGCAACAGAAAAACTATTGCTGAACAGCACTGGACACAAGCGAGGCAGGAAGAAATCTGAAGTAAGCTCCACAAGATGAAGTTAAGTTATTCAAAGCTCTTTTTTCTGCAAGACAGGTGATGTATTTCAGTCTAAATATCCCACTCGATCTGTCCTCAGTGAACAACCAAGTGACAAACTGCCAATCAATCTGAAAAGCATCCCCATTCATCAGGGCTTCCTCCGCCACTGCCCCGCAATGAGCAATGCTTTATCAGCACCTACGGAATCTGAATTCAGCTATTTTTAACCAGTACACCATTTTTTTCAATCCTGCCCACCAGAAGGATTTGCAAATCCTCTTCAAATACTCCTCCCGGGTCCTGATAACTTTGCCAGCATGCAGAGGAAACTTGGGGCTTTCAGAACAAGTCGCTGCTGGCTGACAAGGCAGTGAAGATTTCCTTTCCTATCTGCAGTTCGCATGAGTAGGCAGCTGGGATTGTGAGGAATTGCTATCTCCAGTTCCAGTGCTAAGTTTAAGACATTTATTTGGCATAGTCTGTTAGAAAAGGCACTGCCAATACAAGCTATTGGTATTAGCAAACTTCTTCAGGAAGACTACTGGAAGTATTTCACAGCCTCTCTCTGCTTGTAACAGGAGTCTGTTCAGGACCAGAGTTGTTTTATTGATTGAACTGTAATTGAATTTTGCTGAATGTTGTACAGAGAAACTAAAACCAGCTTGGTTTAAAAACAACTTGAATAATTTTCAATTGGTAGTTACATCAGTTTTTGGAGTCAAATCTCCTCCCAAACTCACTGCCCCCTTTGACCATCTGAGAAATTGCATTTTCCATCAACTATTTGTTGTGCCTTCCTGTTTCATTTTGGAGTTCAGAGTGTCAGGCTTTCAGCAGCTGGCCCTGCAAACCATGTAAACCATGCCTATACAACCCTGCAGGTCTGATCTCTTTGCAGGAATATTCCAAGTATAAAGCCCATGACCAGTGCCTGTTTGGAACTCAGCTGATTTTCTAATCAGTACTCAGCCAATCAAGGAACTGCTTTGGATTTCAGGACCAGTCATCACTGCATGAATTGGAAATCTTCATTGATGTGTTTGCAAAAGATTCAACCATTTGATGATAACTGAGCATTTTTACACTTGCAAATAATCTGCAGAGAAGGTTTCTTCTGCCTATAGCCTTCCTGCATGCCACAATGCTCTTCACCCCACTCATAAGTCAAGCCACATTTATTTTGATGGCATTATTTTTATGCAATAAGCTACTTAATTGCCCTTTTGCTATGCTTCTTAAATTTTAAATTCTACTTTTGACTTTGCCCAAAAGCCTATAAACCTATTTGTGTCTTTCCAGCTACTAAGCTTACAGTTACCACTTACAAATTCGACATGGACATTTTGCAGGTAACACTTAGGAAAACTATTAAAATCTGCCAGTGGCACATATATAGGCTGTTGTAAATGTCAACTTTGATACTGCTACATGTATTCCCATCGTTAACTTGCGTTTCAGAGATGAAAAAGCACAAACACAATCCACCTAGAACAAATATCAAGCAGGTTACAATCTCCACTTCTTTTCACTTGCTGAGGCCATGGATGTATTTTGTTGGTTTTGCTATCATTAGTAGTAGTATTCATGATGTTTTTATAACTCTCACCCCACTCAAAGTCATTTGCCATTTAGTTCCTTCTGTAGGATCCTCCTCTGCAGGGCAACAGAAGTCCCCCCCCCAAAAATAACAAGGGAAGTAAATACTACAGTACATCTAAAATGTGCTATATCCACTTTATTCTCCAAGTCCTCATATTCTGTAAATGCCACAAAGCAGTTTCAACAAATCACCAGCACCTATAGGTTTTTGATGACCTATCTCAAGTAACTCTAGCTTGGGAATTTGCTTTTTATGGACTTAGAAATGTTTTGAAATACATCAACCCATCATGTGAAGATGGTGTTCAGCAGAAATTTCATTGCACCAAACTGCAAGAAGAGTTCTAAAACTGCAACCTCACTTTTTAAAAAGCATTTTAAAATCTCCAAACAAATGGCTTTAATCTTCTAAAGATCTAGCAAAAACAAAATTCCTTTTTATAGTTCACTATTTCTCTGAGATGAGCTCAAATTGTTGGCTGAGATAATTATGGGAGAGATTATGCAAATCTTATTATCAAAAGGTTTTGTTTGCTCTCTTGGTATGTAATTGCTTAGTGTTTGTATGGATCTCAGAAAATAGTAAGCATCAGAGAAATACCAAGAATTATTTATTTAACAGAAAAATAATTCTCCCAAATGACATTAACATTTTCAGTTGTCTTTACTGTATTTTGAAGATGTCTGTTAACCTCTAGAGCTGCTCAGTGATCTAACCTTGGCAGCACATGAAATGAGAAATGTGCTTTACCACTATTGATTTTAGACTATTTCAGCAGAGCTGCAAAACAGCAGGAGGCAGAGAAAAGGTGCAATATAGTGTCTTATCATTTCCTCACTTCTAGCTTTGCTGGTGACAAAGGTCACTACATTCAGGAGGTAATACCAGGACTTGTAACTCAAACCAGTGCCATAAAGTACACAATCGCTTTATGGAATCACTAAATGTTTCAAGAACTGGATAAAACCACATCAAACATTTCCAAGCTTGGGTAAGTTTGTAAGCAAAATTCAGTCAGACTACCTGAATTTGAATACTTGTAACTTTCAACTAAATTCTATCCAAGACCTTTCAAAGACAATAAAAGCCATCTTTAAAGTGTGAAAATGAGGCCCTGAACTCAAAATAAACTTGTCATTGGACACACTTATGTACACTCAGTCTCACGAACAATTTAAAAGCTACAGCAACTACACAATTTCAATTCCCATTTTCAACAATTCAAAGCTCATTTCATGATTATTTGCAGGTGCTTCAGATTTTTTAGGATGTCAAGAAAGCCTACAGCAAGTGTGTTATACAACCATCATACTACCCATAGAACTTCTCTCAGATTAAACACAATAAAATCAAACTTTACTTACAGCCAACCATCATCATGGCCACTGAAAATATCTTCTCTCCATCAGTGGTTGGTGCTATGTTTCCAAATCCTATCGTTGTAAGGCTTGTCATGGTAAAGTAGAGAGAGGATATGTACAAGGAGTCTTTACTGGGTCCTCCTTCCCACTGCCCTGAGCCAGTGGTGTTGTAGCGATATGGTGTCCCAATACTCAGGGCTAACTGGTAGAGCCAACTATCTGTTTTGATTGTATTAGTGAGTTCATCTATAACTTCATAGTCCCCAATGCTGTACCATATGCAGGCTAGCCAGTGGGCCACCAGTCCAAACACACACACCAACAGCACCAGTACAGCAGCACCATATTCCAGATAATGGTCCAACTTCCTGGCAACTCGACCAAGTCGTAGAAGACGCACCACTTTTAAGGAACTGAAGAGGCTACTGATCCCCTAGAAAAGAATAAAAATCATTATTTCATATGAAATATCCTGCTGGTTAGCACAGAAGGCTGTACAGCAATTCCTGCATCTGCTTTAAATCTTTCTGTATAATTTTTCATTCCTCAGATGACAGAACACAAGATCAAACCCTCCTCCCCCTGCAGTGCTTTTGTCCTCATCAGGCTAAATCAAGTTTGGCAGTCATTAGGTGGTTAAATTACTTTGTTCAAGCTCAGTCTTTCAAAGTAACAGAAAAGTTCTGTAGAATCCAAAGTGGGAAATGGCAAGTTTTTTACAAAAAGCAGCAATTCAATACTCTGCCAATTTGAAGTAAACAGGAGACTCTGCTTTGACCTCAAGAAGATCAAATGTGGTGGAAGAGCAGTCACAGATGGATCTATACCATCCAAGTGGAGTCTTCTTGAAGCTTCTCAGAGAACAGTATTCTATTGAATCCAGATTCAACAGAATTCAAGCAATAGCAAATCAAGATAGCTATTTTTGGCCAAAATGTGGGTCCACCTACTTCAACAGCCCTCAGTGTTAACAGATGCTCAAGAGAAACATCAGGAAGTAATCATAATGGGTAACTCAAAGAAATCTGCCTACTCTCATCCATCAGACAAGAGCTGAGTAACTTCCTCTAGTCCACAGTCTATTATCCTTCATCCCAGCTAAGACAATTCTGGATATTGTGTTATTTATGAGAAGTCTCACTGAGAGAACATGGAACTAACAACTGTGGGCACATCACCTTTCTGAATGAAAGCAATACAGACCACAAGGCACATGCCTTTCTGTATAGGGTTAATTTCCTTTCCAATCAACAGACATTGCAGATATTTTCCTAAATTGTGCAGTTAGGGTTTTTTTCAGACAAGATATATGAAGTACAAATAAATGGAAGTACAAATGTTGAGGGAATAAGAGCATAAGGACCATCAAAAAGTTAATAGAAACATCTGAAAGGGAACAAGAAATGTGCATGTCCTCCTCAATGCACAAATGGTTTGCAATGTATCTTAATAGAGTTTAGAGATGCAGAAAGAGGAAAAAAATATGTTCCTGATCTATTGCAATCCCATGATATACCTAACTTGTGCATTAAATTAATTAGTGGCTCAAAATAGAAGGTTTGTAAAGGAAGGTTTCTAATATAAAACATTCAGAAGCTGAAGACATTTAATTTAAAGTAGAAATTAAGACATAGAAAGCAATGAGGCAAACATTCCAAGTTACTGTGCCAAGATTAAATTGCCCTTTTCTATGCATCATTATCAAATCAGTCTAGTCAAAACACTGGCTAATTATATTATCAAACAAAAAGACTGGAGTTTCTGGAGTTTTCCACACTGGAAAAACATCCATGACTTTTGCACCTCTGTTTCTTCTTCTTTTGCACCTTCTTTTCATAACTAATGTTTGAAGGGTAACATACATCTGATATTTCTAGACGTAATCTGTTCAACAAAGTTCCTGTATGCTTTTCAAATCCTTTTGGAATTTGTTTCAGACCCCAAAATCCTTAATAAATTGAAGTACTGTATTTGCATGCAAGCTCTCATGATGACTAATACCACAGAGGGAAGTGGAATTTTCCCATTCTGATTTCTGTATTTTGCATTTACACAAGACAAAGATCTAGTTTATCAGACTTATTTGCATCTAAATGTACATCTACTTATTGGCTTTAGGATCTATGATTGTGAGGCACCCTGAGCAGCCAAATTCTCCAACAACCTGGGAAGTCCTTACAGTGTTCATGACACAATGGGCTGGGGCCAATGGACTGCTGAATGAGGGTCACACCTCACAGGAACAATATCTCCATTAAAAAAAAATTACAGAGTAGTTTAATAGCATATTTAATTAAATCATTCTGCAGTGTACTTCAGTGAATTAACCCTGATTTTGAAAGCTTACAATTTGCTGTGAAATCAGGACAAAAAAGCAGGCTGGGTTTTTTTTGTAGGACCAAATCCTGTTGTATAAGTCAAGCAGAGATGCATTATTTCTATTTGATTGAATGAATCACTGTTCATTACCAAGATTAAGGCTAGAGAAGGCATTTAGAGACCTGGAATCTAAACTTGGGAGTCCCCTTTTTTGCACCCTGTAGTTTGAGATCATACCAATAACACTTCCTGAACTGCACTTTCTACTGCACAAACCCAAATGGAGAGTCAGCCCTTGGTCAGGAGAGTTTACAATGTGATATTCCATCCCACATCCATATTACATCTTCCCTCTCCAAGTTAAGTGGACAGCTTAGCAGTTGTACAACTAACATAAAAATATAGCATTTATTTCAAAGCCTGGGAGAAAGTTTGTGATCTCTTTTTTTTCCCTAAGCACAGATAACAATCACACCTCTTATGTATAAAACAAAGAGAAATGTTTCATTGTAGCTGACTTTGAAATGTATTATTTCCTAAGAGTAATTCATTTAAGTAAGTTTCACTGCAAATCTTAAAGCCAGTTCAGCTTGACCCCTTATTTTAAGGCCAAAACATCAGAGATATATTTATTGAGCATACATATTTCATGTCTAATCTTGCAAGATATAAAGACAATATTGGAAGCTTTAAAAGCTTCTTCCATAAAGCACTACCTAGGAATGAGCAGCTCATCAAGTACTGAATGAGTATGTGACATATCTCACCAAGTACTGGGTTGGGTCAAGCTGGTACCTTAATACTTCAAAAACTGCTGATGGTAAATGCAAAATTGTTAATGTGCAAAGCTCTGCCTGACATTCAGCAACAATCTCTTTGGTGGACATTACATGAAAGACTAACTGCCTTGAATTAAGTATTAAAAAATTCAGTTTTCTAAACTCAACTGGTTGCCAGCTGCCTTTAATTTCATTTTTCTTTTAACTTCATTTATGCTCCATAATGAATCCTTTGGAAACTCTTCTACTACAGGATGAGCATCTGCTCTAAAGGAAGTAACCTCAGAACTCAAGGAACAGAGAGGTGATTAGAAATTTGGAATGGAGCATGTAATCCCATTTGGCACTAGCATCATGTAAATAGCACACATTTTTGATAGGGAAGATCTAACCTTCTGGGAGGAGCATTTGTGACTCTATTGCCATATTTAGTCAATTGGGCCAACTGCCTGTAACATCTGCTTGTCCGTGTTCTCTGACTGGAAATATCTCATTATGTTATGAACCATCCTATCCAGCCCCTTGCAGTTTTGACTAATGTATTTTATCATGTCCTAATCAGATGAGGACATTCAGCTTGCTCAGTGTCAATCATCTCAGCTGCAGAAATCTTTCAACTAAAAAACCACCTACACCAGAATCGCATTTTGTGTGTCAGGTTTGGAACCAAATTCCTGTTTGACACACATCACCAATTTAAGTATTGCACATGTGAGTCACAGGAGACTTTCCCAGGGACTTCTAAGGCCATTGGATCAGGAGAGGACGTGAGCAGGAGCTCTGAACCAGCCGTTTTTGTAACAACATTTCAATTTAGGAGACAGCCGAAGCCATCAGAAAGAAAGTAGACAATGTCAAATTTATCCCCAAAGTTTTGAGTAATGAATGTTTAACTTTGGAATTAAATTAGACATTCATGAATAAACAAGGATCAAGTTACTTGACACAGGCACCTTGCAAAGTCTGTGTTCTTGAATTCTCTGAATATACTAAGAAAGGAAATTCAGCTTGATAGCAGAGGCACAACTGATGACAGCACTCAGGATGACATGTGAGGGACCCCTCCTTCCTATTAAAATTACCTGAACCTTGCCATTTCCAGTCCTAGATGTTACCACGCTGTCAAACCTCAGCCTTCCAGAATGAAAGAAGTATCCAAGCTGTGTGCCTGCATCCAGATAAGTTTTCTGACCACAAGACTGAGAAAGATGTTTCCTGCAATTGCGATATAAGCTGTGGGAAGAGACCTCTGCACCTCCTGCGAGAACAGGGAGCAAAGTTCTCTTGCACTTAATGAATCCCTGATAAGCCAGGCAATACGAAGGATGAAGCTGTCAAAGTCATGTTATATTGGGGTCAAGAGCCAAACATGCAAGAGGATGAAGGAAACATTGTCACCAAAGGAAAATTAAGGTTAACAAGGGCAGGAAATCATTCGAGTCCAGATTGACTCTGCCAGAGGTGTTCTCCTGAACCAGGGAAGAGAGAGTGGAGTCTGCTCTACACTAAGGGAGCAGCAGAATAGCAAAGCTGCACATTTGTAAAATCCAAAAAAGATTTCATCAGCTGGTTACTTGCTAATCTAATAGGTCTTTTCTACAGTGGGAAATTATTGCATAAATGTTTTTAAAAAGTAAAATAAAACCAAAACCAGCCATTAGTTTCAGCCACCTAAATACCCAAAAAGTCTGCTTAAACCTCAGAATTAAATCCTAGTATGCTGAAATGGTAAATCATGCATAACTTTTTCTTTCTACTAGGGAACAATGTGCTTTTAACTCTAGGCACTTTTTCAATTAGATTTCACTCCATGATTTTTTATTTATTTGTTGTTAGCTGTGGGTACATACACAGCAGCAAAAAAAGAAAAAAGGAAGAAATATGCATTTTAAATGTGTTCTAAAACTGAAATCCTCTGAGCTTTGAAAACGGGGATCGGTACTGCATCATTTAACACAAAACACTGTCTCGGAAAAGGTCAGAGGAAAAAAAAATGAAAAACTCTTCACTGTGTTTTGATGTTCAGCACATTGTGGTTTTGAAGAATTTATGGAGTGGCCAAGAAGCAGAGCTGGGAGTCTTTCTATGAAATGTTGTAGGGCATGTTGCCATTGCAGTCAAAAGGTGACTGCAGCATGTACAGACCTTCTTCAGCTAGATTTAAGCTAATATGCTTAGAGGTGCTAGACACAAGCAATTACAGCAATATCCACTCAGCAAAACTGGCCATTAAAGGGATCAAATCCTCTGAGGAGTTTGCAGCCTCTGCTGAGCTCTGGAACCCCATGCAAGAGCAGAACAGTTTCATTTACGCTGATCCCAAGCACAGCAGCAC